CATCCGTCCCACCCACCCACCCGTCCGTCCGTCCGTCCATTCCTAGTTCATCAAAAGCTTATGTAACAATAATAAGATGGTATTTTTACGCAGGTAACCTACGATCTTCGTCTCATCCAAGGAATGAGCCTCCCTGGAGGTTCGGAGAAAGGCTACTCTCTAAAATTCCTCAAGGTACTGCCACTTTTCTCTTTCTTTCCTCGATTTCTCGTACCAGCCAGCAAACCGCGAAGCGCAATAGACGGTTTGCAGGATAGTTCCATGTTACTACCACTATAAAAATGGCTGGCAATTGTTTTCTCTTTTTATTCGATTTTGGATTTCCTCATGAGAATAGTAAGACAATTGGTGCTAATTCACTAAATTAAAGAAAGTGCACAAGAGATTTTGGTATAGTGGCAATACATAGTATAACACAAGGAATCAAAATATGGCTGTTCTGTACTGACAAGCGACTGAATAGCCTCGTGGTCACATGGAAACATAAAAGCGTTTTCACATGAATGAAAGGCTAGTCCAGTCGTTAGTCAGTGCAGAACAATTGAAGTAGCGTGTTTCGTTSGAAATAATTATGTCGATTTGGCTCTACACGGGCATAGTTTAAAGGCTAAACTTTATTTGCACAAACCAGTCCAATACCACGAAAAAACAGGCTAGGGAAAGGGCCCGGTGAAACCTAAAATTCCCAAGCTAAAATTACAACTTATAAAGGGAAATGAAAGAAGGAAAACAGTACAAAAAACTCACCGAATTGACACCATGGTATACAAGTACGGCACACTACTTCAAGCACAGGTAAAACATATACCGCGCAAAGGATTGCGGGACATTTATGCAGAAAATGTAGAATAGAAACATAGGAACGCGGGAACTCCGGAATACCCTTGTTGAGGATTAGCCTAAACATCAATAGTTATTCAAATTGGTCGCCATATTTCGATTCCGTGTATAACGCAAATGACTCATTCAATAGCAACTTGTTGCGAGTGTTTCAGTTCTCTGTAGTCAGCGGTTTGCAAACACACAAACAAACAAACCAAAACAAATCCAATACCAAAAGCCTTTCAAAAATTAACTAGAATTCAAACCCACTCTCTTCCACTTTTTAATCTTCAGACAATGGCTGCATACAGGAGAGAGAACTGCCTTGGTCACCCTGTGTGCTACCTGCTGATGAGTCTTAAATGGTAACTATAGCGACCATTTCCATAGTAACCATTTTCAGTTGGTCACCACAGGTAGCCCAGTTCTATTATTTTTTATGTTCGTCTTTATTTCAGGCGTAAGTTCGGATGGTTCACGTTTATCGCAAATATCATCATTTACCTAATTTTCTTGCTGTCGATAACAACTATTGTGCTGCAAACCCAAACAATCTGTAAAGACAAAATCGGAAATACGAATTCTTCAGAAGAGAATGCTATGGAGGTGAGATTCATTAATCTACTTGTTGATAAATACACCTTTTTAGCTTAGATGCAACGTTGTCCCATTTCAGGCATAGTATCCATAGAGTATCATTACTTTGTTTAACGGTTGTACAACTCAAGCAAAGAATCTTATCAAAATCTAAAATCTATAAAATCTATCAGTTTTCTCTGTAATCACAGAGTGGGACAATCACGAACGGAACCCACAAATCCATGCTAGGTGAAAGCCCAAGATCGAATTGGAATTTAGAAGTTGGTTTTTGCGGGGGGAGGAAAACCGGAGAACCCGGAAAACCCTCGAAGCACAGGAGAGAACCAACAAACAAACTCAACTCACATACAACACCAAGCTCGTAGGGACTCGAACCCGGGTCGCATTGGTGAGAGGCGAGCACTCTCACCGCTACGCCACCCATGCTTCACAAGAGAATGACACGAGGTCTGAAATGAAAAAAACATTACACCCAAAGTGAAAAGGTCTATTAACGGTTCGCAAATTAGTTTCTTGGTGTCTAGTAAAACCTTTAAATGGTCTCCCTGTGGTACGATTGACGAGGGGGGACTAAGCGCGTCGGCGGACGGTAAACCAATAAATCAATCAATCAATCAATCAATCAATCAATCACACCTGGGCGAGAACTCTTTTCATCCAATCACAATGTCTCTGTCACGGCACGTCACGCCCTACTGCGATCAGAACAAATTTATTCTAATTATGTATTTTATTTTTCATCATCAGACGAACCATGAATGGTGGACATGTGGACAAAACCAGAAGGTGATCAACATATTGGTTTAGAGAACTGAGGGGAAGGGGGAGGGGGGCTGTGCGCTTCAGAAACATTTAGAGGGGAAGCAACTGCATAAATGGACAAGCTCTTAGTTTCACATATCCCCCGGAGGGGAAGGGATGGAAAGGAAAGCTGAGTCACGAAAAAAGAGAAAAATCATCATCTCATCTCATCTCATCTCATCTTCTTTTCTTTTCTTTTCTTTTCTTTTCTTTTCTTTTAATAGATAGATCTACATATATATTTAACTGCCAATGTATTTTCTACTGATGATTTTACCGTGTTTAAATTCAAAAAAAAACATGGGGAAGGGGCAAATTTGCAACACTCTTTCCCATCTCTTTACATAATGACCATTCCCAGAAGATATATGTTTTTAAATGTTTGTTTTACTGTATTTTCTTTTTTCAGTTTAAAGGCCTGATAATCCCCCAGTTCCTAGTGATCGCGCTTTCCTTTCTTCTCGTTACTAAGGAATTAGCACAAATCATCAAACTGGTATGTTGTAAGAAGCTCTAAGGTTCGGCGAAATTCGAAAACGGTATTTGGATATTCTCGACTAAATCCCCTATCAGAATTAAGATTATTTGATGTGTTGTTCTCTCCCTTGCCTTAAGAACATTCAACATGTGAGATGAGTGTGCTGTGGTGTAAACTGTAAACATAGAGGAACCTTAGGCCCCGTCCACACGTATCCGGAAATTTTCGTATCCGCAAATTATTTTTTGCGGATACGGGTTGCGTCCACACGTGTCCGGAAATTTTTGTATCCGTATCCGCAAATTTTACGAAAACGGATACTTGTGGACGGTGAAAACGATTCGAATAGGCTGCGTGTGGACGCAAACATTTTCGTATCCGCAAAAAATAACTTTAGTGTGTGTGAAGCGAAACTCACGGAAGAGCCTGTGTTACAGGGAGATTTGAATTTGAATACACTAGTTACTAGAAACTCGTTGTATGATTCCAGCGAAGAAAATACTTCGACGACATCACCAACTTCATTGAGTTACCCATCTACGCAGCAGCTCTATTTTACTTGATTCCAGTTTGCACGTGCAAGAAGATATTTCAGGTCGAGGCTGGAGCTTTGTGTTTGTTCCTGGCTTGGATCAACCTAGCTTTGTACATGAGAAGGTAAGATATTGGATGCCATTTCAAGTCAAACTCAAGCGTTATATTCATTGCCCCTATGGCTTCATTTTCATCGGCACCACAAACTAGGCAAA